TGGAAAAGAGAGAGATACTGAGATCAGTGAGCAAGCCAATGTATGGGTGAATTTGACCTTCCAGTCCAAGGGATGCTGCAGCCAAGTAGTAATTGTGTGGATGAAGCACATGCGTCAGCCGCAAAACAATAAACAAATATCACCAGATTGCAGCAGCTCTCCTTCTTACACAAATCCAACCCCACAAGCTTGTTCTCGTGGCAATATACTCTACCCCAAGCACACGGATCACAGCCTTGAAGCCATCCCAGTTCCTGGGGCAGTGGGGGCCTTTCGACACACGTACTGACAAAGAGAAATTAGATTTTTTAGGGGACAACAGTTGGATTTGTTCCGAAATGCCAACATCATCTCCTCCGCAAGATGATAGGTGCTCGAGCCATTCCGCGGCTGGATCGCCTTCATACGTAGGTGCGGGTGAAGGTACAGTTCCTGGTTGTTGCGTTCTCCGTGTTGGATGCGGTGTCGGGGCCGACGTGATTGGTATTCTTGTAGCTTCTTCTGCTTGCAAGAAGAAATCCATGTCCAAGGTTGTTGTCTCTGTGCTGATCCGTTCAGTAGGGACCATGCTGGGGATATCGGATGGTTCTTGCAGTTCCGTGGGAACTAGACTGGGCCAATCGGATGGTTGCTGTGTCGGAGTTGGGGTAGGCTGCACTGTGGGAAAACCAGCACAAAATGTGCAGCAATCACAAACTACCGCAGGGTTGCTACCCCAGCAATCAACTTCGAGTCTCGATGGCGGCTGCTGCAAGTTACAGAGGGAGGACGGCACCGATCCTGCCAATTTATTGTTGTTCAAGCGAAGGACATCTGGTGTGCCGAATGGAATTCAATAAGGCAACGACGAGAGATTGAGAGATTGAGTAGCCATCAAGTTTCCAAATAGTGGCTTTTCAAAATGTCGTACGAGGAAAGGACTTACCAAGGTCAACAAGATAGGCCAACTGCGTCGGTATGGTTCCTTGCAGCATGTTGTTTGATACATCAAGATGTTCTTTGAATGGAAGAACGTAAAATTGAGTGCACGCTCCCCTGTAGCCACCTATGCACACTCGCTGCCCGCAGGTACGTACCAATGCTTTTCAGCAGCCCCAAAAATGGATGGATCGTCCCCTGCAATCCCAAGGATCCCAATGACAACCCCACTACTGATTGACTGCTGCTAGCCGTTGTACTATTGTTCTCCGTTACATCATCATCCTTGCAAGAAATCCCTCTCCATGTACACGGATAACAATTTTGCATCCATCCCATTTGTTCCCACAAGATGCCTCTTCCAAGTCGTTGTTGCATGGCAAAAAGAGACTGGCCAATGCGAGCAATTCCATTCGTTTCAATGCCGAATCGTGACATCCGTAATCTCCCAACCACTTTTCGGCAGGATCAAAGGGCCAGTGGGAGCCGGAGTGGGTGCCATCGTGTTGGCAGCAGAAGCAGCAGCAGACGTGGGCGTTTGGAGACAGAGTGATTGTAGGAGTTTGCAAACACCAAATACATCTGGAATGGACAATTTTGCACCTCCAAGGGTCCCAAAGTCAATGCGAGGTCCATCACCACCAAAGTTAGCTGCCACCTGGGGCAGCAGTAACAAGATGAGAAATGAAATGGTAGTTAGCGCACTCTTCATCCCGATGGATTGCTCGTCCTCCTCCAGAAGAATGATGCCAACAACAGTCTTCCAAAGACGTGTACCATCCAGCATCGGCTCATGGTATGGGAGCTCAAGTTTGGATAGAATCCCGGGCGACAAGAAAAAAAGGTATCCGAGCGAAACCGTTTCACTGGATGGGTTTGACAAGACAAGAATGAAAGAGACAGTCAAGCCGCAAGATCTCTTAACACAGATAAACCTGGGAACGAGGCTTCCTGTCGGCACACTGTGATTTCTATAGGTTTGGCGACCTTGGAGCGGTGCACCTTGGCACAAATCACAAACACCGGAACGAGACGAAATTGTGAGGAGGTGCCTCTTAACTCCAGCCTTGCCCAAAATGTCTCTAATTCTTTTGGTATTTAGTTAGCTAGAGAACGTTCTTTTGGTACTTAGAACATTTTTGGTACTTAGAGAAGCTGACCTCGACAAAAATCCACGCCACGCTCTGGTGGTTCGCGACGTGGTCCATGTATCGACCACGGCAACAAATCCATTTCCGCAAAAGATATCTTCATCTTGTCCTTGGTTGTACCAGTACCGGTATTGCATGCCGCAGCCAACAACTGGTTGCTATCTATCTATAGCTAGCTACAGACTGGAATTGAATCAATTTGGAAAGATGGAGTCCAACAATGAAGGTAAGGAGGATGCTCTTCCGGTTCCTCCTGATTTGAAAGACGCCAAGAACAGTCCAAAGCGAGCAGGAAAGGATGTTGCCAACTTTTTGTTTCAAACCGAACGAGGTCTTTCCTTCTTGGAAGAGTCCAATCCTACAATCCCTCCTTCCGTGGACGAAACAACACAGAACGAGATATCGTCACCTATCAGCAGCAACAAGGAGAACCATGGTTCCTCAACGTCTGTCAAGAGCCCGAGCAACAACAACAAAAAGAAGAGAACCCCATGGTTGACATTGTCTCCGTCGAGTCGTCGCAAAACCAAACAAGCTCCAGCAATTCCCCAGGAGAGTGCACCACCACCCACCAAAAGGAAGCAGCCACGAGAAGTGATTGAAATCATTACCGTCGCAGAAGGAATTGAAGCTGTCAAAATGGCCGAACAACGTGACTTTTCCCGTACATTTTCCTTTGAAAATGTCGTGGAGGATCTTTCGGAAGGAGACGCCACGCCCACGACCAACAACAACAATAGCAGCAATAGTCGATTACAGACGACAACCGAAGAAGAAGAAGGAGTAGAAGTGGAACGAAGAAATCCATTTGAAGATCCAGAGCTGATCCAAAAATATCAACATACATCCACAACAACAAAAGAAGAAGAAGAAGAACACAACAACAGTGACAAACCCAAATGGTGGAAAAAGGCACCCCAAATTGTACTTTCTCCGTTTCGAAAAAACAAGAAAAAGACAGACGAAACCACACGTAGTACTCCAGCAGAAGAAGAGGAAGACGCTCCCACCACCAACCATTTCGTGTTGGAAAGTGCCCCGGAACCAAAACACATCATCGAAGAGGAGGAAGAAGAAGAAGAAGCAAAGGAAGAAATACAACAAGAAATCAGGGTGGAAGAAATGTTTCCGTTTCATCATCAAACTGACAATGACCCTACTATACCCCAAAAGGCAATGGTCATGATGATGGATGACAGTGATACAGATTACCATGCAACAACCACACAAACAACAGCAAACAGTCCCACAACCACCACCACACAAAAACAATGGATTGCATCCGTGGCATTGAGCAGCATTCTGGTTTGTTTACTAACATTACGATACATTCCAACCTTTGATACCCTCTGTGGTCCCGTCATGCATGGGACGACTTTGGATCTTTCAAATCTACAACAATCCGAACAAGAACAATCCTTGTTGCAAGCACCTTGGTGGTGGGCGGGAGGAAACGAACCAGTGTTTTCCTTGGTCTGCGGGGCACAACGTCCACGGATTCAACTGGAATGGAAACCACACACCCCAAAGACAGGACGACTCGTACTGACTGATTTAGATGACGCAAAGAAGACACATGTCCTGCTGGACAAGAAGAATCTGGTCTCGGTAGAAATTGGTCTGAGCGGTGGGACGTCATCATCATCATCATCGTCAAAACCCATCATTACGGCAATCGACAAGGGCGGGAAGAGCCACGTTCTTCCCGCACCATGGTAGTACGGTAGGATGTGTGACTGTTGATCGTCCGGGTACCGTGATTAAATGGGCTACTCAGCCTACCGTACTGAGTGGTCGAATTTTCACTCTTTAAAGCTATCATGCACAATTCCATCTCTTTAGAAGCTACCGTATTGATTAAAGACCACAAGAAACCCAACAAGGACGGAGTGTTTCCAACTAGACTAGTCCTAAGTCGTACCAGCTAACAACTATACATCAGCATTTCCAAAACTTGGGCATCTATTAGGAATCAAACGAATCCTAGCTCTAGTTAGACGACAACAAAATAGAGTACATGAGCAGAACAATCATCCAAGCTATTTAAAAAAAATAGCATCCGAGCTCAAAGCTCCTTTGCTTCTTTGAAGCTGGCATAGCTGATTAAACATTGCTTTCAAATTTTAGCTTGTGCACAAGCAACACTCTGCTTCCATCCTCCATTGATTGATTGACTATGCACCAAGCGAATACTTCCATCATGTCCTCTCCTTCTCCTGACAAAGACGATGACAATAAGAAGAAGAGCCAGACAATAATGGCAGGTATTAGCCGCTTGGACGAAATCTGGAGACAACACTTGGATCAGTACCGCAAAGTGGATGATCTGGAGAAACGAGTGGACGAACACGCCAAACGATTGCGTCGTCGGGTGGTCAATCTGTTGGAAACCCAGCCGACGCATCGGCTCTCCCATTTGCGCCTCTTTGTGTCTCATGAAGAACGGTCGGTAGCCAGTGATGCCGTCGTGTCGATCCACAACGATGCTTCTGGTACAACGGGTGTGAGTCAAAAATGGACCTTGACGGTGGAAGGGAAACTCTTGATTGGCCACTTGGATCATGCCAGTGCCGAAGCATTTGACCAAGCGCTGCGGGATAAATTTCAAGAACGTCATGGGGTTTCCGCCACTCATTCCAGTTTGGCACTGGCGACCAGTCAAAATGTCTCACAGACGTGTCCTACGGAGGAAGAAGAACCGGTCAAGGCGGCTATATTTACTCACTTTTTTGACAAGATGGTAGTCCAATTCCAATCTCTCTTCCAGCCCGAAGAAGCGACAGCATCCGAAGAAGCCCCCGAAGGACTTGTCACTCCGGCCAAACCAGCAGCGCCAGCAGCTAGCACTAACAACAAGAAAAAATCCCGCAGTGCGGCCAAACGACAAAAGACAGCGACGCAACAACAGCAGCAACAAGAAGCCGATGACGTGGAACCGAGCAATTTGACATACTCGGATCCCACCGAATTCATTTGGAACAAAACCATCACCACAATCACCAATGCCAAGGCCAATCAAGCTGCTGGAATTACCACTCAGACGACTACCAAAGATGCCCATGCCTTTTTGGTCCATTACGATTCCCCCACGGTTCCATCCGCAAAAATGAAACTCTATGGCGCCATTGCCACCGTACAAGTTTATCCATCGCGAGGACCCGAACATCGCTACAAACCATCTAAAGAATTTGCCAAGGCGTTCTTTCCCAAACATTGGTCCGATGTCACACCTCCCGTACTCCCCACCACGGCCATTGCCCAAGCCAAAAAGGCCGATCAAGAAGTTGCCGAATCAGCCGACACGACGACGACGACGACGACGGACAATAATAACGAAACAACACCCAAATCCAAAAAGAGGGGTGCACCATCAACAACCACAACATCATCCCCCACCGTTCCTGCCAATCAACTGGGTCCCCATGCACTGGAAAATGAAATTCACGTTCCGACCAGTCTCACCATGGACGATATCTTGACATCTCTGTTTACGTATATTCAAGATCACAAATTGGTAGGGCCGGATGCGGCTCCCAGCAGTGTTTTGGAACAGGAAACTCCTTCCGCTACAAATAATGATGATCCGACTTTGATTCACAATGATGCCAAACTCAAGGCATTGTTCCAGTGCGACTCGATGCATTTTCATGAACTGTCGACCCTCCTTACTCAAAAACGGCTCATTACACTGTTGCCCAAACCAGCTCCCATTGTGTTGAAATATGTCATGACGACAAAGAAGAAACAAACCAACGAAACCAGCCATAGTAATAACACGGAGGAAGAAGACGAAGAAGAAGAGGTCGCACCCATGACTATGGACTTGCACAATGACGTCTACGTTCCCAACTTTTTCCCATACCGCGCCCGCGAATGTCTGCGTCGCATCAAACGCCGCGAAATGGATTACACGGCCAGTCGCACCAAGGCACGCTATCTGTTAATGGCCAGTCGCGCCAAAGACGAAGCCACCGTCAAGAACAAACTGGAAGAAGCCATTTGTGGACGCACCCTCGAGTGTGGATGGCATGTGCTGGCGAGTTTGGCCAAGTCGGCTCCCCCGCATTCCGAAGCACGGGCAACGGCACAAACGGATGCCAAGATTTGCCATTTATTAACGGAAGTAGAACAAGCGCAACGAGCGGCACAGGATGCCTGGGAATTGGTGGAATGGTGTCAGAATGCTGCTGCCGAGGAGGCACCAGCGACAAAACCAGCGGACTCAATGGAGGTGGATTCGGCGGTGGGGGTTGCAACCAAGGACGAGGGAGCACACGAAACATTGGTCTGAGAATAATAAGGTAGACTGATGCATTCGGAAAACATTTTCCTTATTTGCATGGCTGGGACGTTATGTGGCAGTATCGTTACTTCGACTTCTTGAACTGAAGTAGTACGGTAGTAGTAAAATGCCTCCATGACTACCGACACAATAACATCTTTCCAGCTGACCTAACCAGCCAGCACAACACTTACCATTAATACTGTGCCACCGTACTAGATACAGCGAACGAAAGCCATTCCTCCTATTTCATTACTTACTATGTTTAATCTTTGACTCTGTAAAGGTTCAATTACATTGCTAGCTATTTAGCTAGATGGCTAACTGACCATCTTATCTTTAACGTACTATCCCTCCAGGAATTCGAGTGTCTGCGACCACTCCCCATCTTCTTCCATCGTGATCCATCGAATAGAGTTCTCGCTACAGCCAAACACCTTCATAGAAAAGTCATCCTGCTCCTCGTCAGCCGAGTCAGTCGATCGTACCGATTGATTGTCGTCATTGACATGCTTCACCTTGGCATCGTCGTCTACTTTGTGGTCGTACTTGAGCTTGGTGGTCAGTGACCTGTCGGCGTCGTCACCACGTTTCTTGTAATGGCCAATCAACGCTTGAACACGCCCTCGAGCCATTCGCTTGTGTAGGAAGCTGGGCAAGTCGCGGGGGTCTCCATCCGTAAAGACAAACAAAGTGTGCTTGGACATGCGGGAGGCTTCCAACTGCTCTCGAAGCCACTTCATCTGTTCCGTGGCATTGGAAGCCACCTGATCGGATTTTGCCGATATCGAGATGCATTGGATGGCCCAATACCAGGCAGCGTAAGCGTCCTTCTGGCCGTCGTTTGCCAGCACTGGGATGGAATCCGAGATTCGTGCCAAGAGCTTTTCCGACTCTTTCAATGGACCGTTCACCACCACCATCTTGGGCCGAGCCTTGTTGATTGCTGCTATACATTTTTTCAAATCCTTCTTGTGTTTCTTTCGTGTCTCATCGTCAAAGACTGTTTCACTTCCTGAGCTAAACAGTGGATTGGAAATGATGGCAATCTTGACTGGATCCATTTTGAGGGGTGTTGCGTAGGGGTCTTCATTGAGAGATTCTGGCGTTCGGCCGTGATTGTCGTTCATTTGCGTCAGGCCACAAAAGTCGTGGGTGCCAAGTCGCTCTTGGTACTTGCTGTAGAGTCGACAGTGCACAATATCCGTAAAGAATCGCGAGTACAGTCTCGGTTGTTGCCCCACCGCATCTCCAGACACTTTCAAGAGGTTCAGTTTGTCGCACAAGTGCATGACGCACATTCTGTCGCGTTTTTCTAGCCGGGTCATGTCATGGCTGCTTCCGTCACCGGGCGGGTGCTTTTGCATAATTTCAAAGTCCATGCTGTCCTTCTTGACCAACTCGACGCAGGCTCGAATGGCCAAGTCTCGCAGCGATGGCACGGGGTTCTGTACCTTTTGCTCTGGCGACAACTCGTGAACATCTTTCAGATAGGGGTGATTTCGAATGCAGTCGTAGCCGCCGGGGTCTGTTCGTACCATGACACGCTTTGTCTTGTCGACTTGGAAGACCCCAGCTCCGAGGCGATGTTTGGGATTGAGTTGGATCAATTTGTCCATGAAATCCCAGGCATCATCGTCGGCTACACCCCATCCACGTGTGAGTTGGCATCTCCTAATTTTGAGAAAGGTCAAGAAGGGACTGGGTGACCAAAAGGGTGTTTCACCGGTATGAAGAATGTAGGCAACCGCCCCAAGAGCCCACAAGTCGGCCCCGCAGTCCGCATCGGGGTACTCTTCCGCGCTACGATCCTTGTTCTCGGACCGACCACCCTTGACGGCCTCGGGACTCATGAAATCTGGAGTCCCCACAAATTCGGGTCCATTGAGATTGGTAAAGACCAAATCCTTGGCTGTTCCAAAATCAATGACAATGATGTGATTCCGACTATCCAACAGGATGTTCTCCGGCTTTAAATCGCGATGCACGATTCCATGTTTGTGCATGTGTTCCAGGGCATCGACCAACTGATAGCACCAGCGCTTGGCCTGTGAGCGATGACTCCCAACCATTTTCTTGTTGTACTTGAGCCGTGACCACAAGTCGCCGCATTCAACATGAAGATCCATACAATAGTAAATGTGTTCGTAGTCATCAAAGGCGGCATGCATCTGTACAATAAAGGGATGTTGCGTGTTTTTGGTTGCCGAGATGCGTTCGCACAGGATGCGACGTTCCATAAAGATTTCATTGTGCACGTTGGGATGTTGTTTGTTGCTGCATTTGTGCATTGAAAAATTGGATGAATGTGAGCCTATACAAGAATACAAAAAACAACCATAATCATTCGTTTTGTAGTCTCTTACCCCAACTCTTTGGCCTTTTTCTTGTTGATTCGTTTGAGAGCAAACTGTTTTCCCGTGCTCTTGTGTTTGACCTTGTAGATTTCTGAAAAGTTTCCAAATCCCAACTCATCTCCAATGGTAAAGTCTCGAATGGATATTTTGGGAGGTTCCTTGCCCTGATTCTTTTGTTTCTTTTCCAGAGTCTTCATTTGCTCTTCGAATGCCTTGCGTTGTGTTTGAAGGTTCTTTTTGGCAGCTGCCTTTGCGGCATCTTCTTCTGGTGTCTTTTCTTTGGGTGGTTTCCTCGGATTACCATCTCCTTCCTCCTCTTTTCTCGCTGCTACTTCGGCTTCTTCAATGATCTGAATCACTTGCAGAATAATGTCCTTGCCTTCCGCAAACTTTCCCAAGGCAATGCACGTCTTGGCCAATCGATAGGCCGCCTTGACATTGCTCAACTGGGGCAGAGCATTCCAAGCCGTCTCGGCATCCTTCTTGGCTTCTTCATACATTTCCATTTGAAAATAACACGCCGAACGATTGCACAGATTCAACAGCAGTGCCGTGGGAGCATCATCTTTATCAGCTTTATCTCCACTGTCTTGGACATTCAAAATCTCCATGGCTTGGGTATAAAAATGAGCGGCCATTTCGTAGTTCTGCTGCGAAAACTGATGGTTCCCCAGTTGACGCAAGTCTTCGGGGTTGTTATGTTCAATGCCATCCTGATCGGCGGTGGGTTCCGTCATGGTGGTGGACTTCAACAGCTACTACTATTCGATTACTCTCCAGGGTCCAGCAAATGTGTCGATTCGGTTCTCTTGGAGTGTGCGGTTGCCGTTGGAGGGAGGAAAGAAAGCGATCGAAAGAAAGATCGCAGCTCTTGAAATCCGGGATCCAACCCAGATTGAATTCAGTCACATTGGGGTTCATACCCGCCGGGAGCCCAAGACCTTGTTTTGCCAAAGCTTTCTACATGTACTGTACAGGTGCTCGCTAGCTGGCCAGCCAGTTTTAGGGAACAGATAGGAATCTATTAAAAGGCAGCAGTCAAATACTTACCACCTTGACTTATTCCTCTACGGTAGTTCGTTCATTCTTCCGGGCAACCATGGCTCGTATACACTGGACTGTTAGTTGCTCTAAGCTCTCTTCTAGTTTACTGTTGCTATTGAGATACTACTGAAAAAGTGGGTTCCTTGGCTTTTTCTACTGGCATCAAATTCTAGTACAGAGGTACAGGTTGAATCCCTAATCGCGAATCCCCAACACACTCCTGTGGTCGTCGAGCTTGTCCTAGTCGTCGACCATGCTTACTTACTTATTGCGC